AATATTGAAACAAGAAAAATGTTTTCTCATTAACCTTCAGTTGATTAGGAAATTCAAATAACTAAAGCTCTATAAAGAAAGTTCTTGGCTTATGAGCCAGCCATTTATATGAACAAATTGAAAAGGAGTCCATTGTGAGTTAGAACAGACTTTATTTGGCAGGCTCCAGAACCTCATCACCATGTGGAACACTTCTAACACTCTTCCTAGGGGGAAAAGCCTGTCCCCAGCTCCAGAAAATGGACTTCCAAGCTACCTCTTAGAATACAAACTATAAGTCAGAGACAATATTGTTGTTGTTAGCTGCCATGTAGTCAGCCCCCGAATGAAACATTGCCTCGTCCTATGCCATCCCCATAATCTGTTGTGGATCAGACTGTTGTAATCCATAAGGTTTCCTTTGGCTGATTTTTTGGAAGTAAATCACCCAGGCTTTCTTCCTAGTCTGTCTTAGTTTGAGACCTCTGCAGAAACCTGTTCAGTGGGTGATGTCCATTCCCCTTAATCTGAAGCATACTCTGTGGTTAGTGTTTTCTTTTGGTAACTCAAAGTTGTCGAAGGAAAGAAAAGAACCCATTTACCTCAGCTGTAAAGGGGCATGCCATCTAGTAATAACTAACATTTTCTTGGTTTCTACAAAGCGACACTCTCTCTTCTAGGAGCACTACATGCATTCACGCATTACATCCTAACCACTCTTAACCACTGCACCACCAGGGCTCCATTATGAGCTAGGCATGATTATTATCTCCAGTTTTGCAGGAAATGGAGCCTTACAGAGATTAAATTACTAGTCAGTAGTGGGGCTGGTATTATAACCAAGGTCTGACTGACTCTAAAGCCCTCTATACTCTGCCTGTCTTAGAACACAAAAGCTAGTCACCTCTCAATATGATGGGGAAACAGAGGAGACTGATTCTAGGACAGTCATAGGATCAGTGAGTCAAGAGTTAGGATGAGTAAGCTGAGAACCAAAACCTCATCATTGGAATTGGTAATGTGGAGGTTATTTTTGATCTTGACAGGAGATGCTTTGGCAGAGTGGTACTGGGAGCCTGTTTGCCCTTAAGAGAAAAAGAAAGTAGGAGAAGTGGACATAATGAGTGTAGATGATTCATTTGATGAATTTTCTTGTAAAAGAGCAGCTGAAAATTGGGGTGGTAGTTGGAGAGGGATGTGAAGTCAAGGAAGGATTATTATTATTATTATTTTAAAGACATGGACATGCTAATATGTCTGTATACTGACGGGAATGACCTCGGACAGAGGCAAAACTTAATTTAGGTGAACAATCCATGACCTTCACTATGTGGGAGAGCGTGCGGTGGGATCTAATCCAAAATGGAGGAGTTGGCTTTAGATGGAGTACAAATGTTTCATCCATGGTAACAGGAGAGTAGGAAAGTAAATAGACCAGGCAAATGTAGAGTGATTGATGGGCCGCACTAAAGTCCACTTGAGATTAGTGGTCATGAATTGAAAATAAGACCAGGCAGCATGACTGTGTGTTTCTCCAACCACGTTTAGCTGCATGCAGGCAGAGAGAAGGTGGGGAATTAGATTTCATCAAGGTTGTGGTTTTTCCAGCAAGTGGGGGGAGGGGGCAACATGATTTGAGAGTGTATGTAAGAGAGAAATTATAATAATGAACTGTGGAAACGAAATTGTGTAAGGAAGGAAGAGAGGACATGAGGTGAGTGAGGGGCAGAGAAAAGGTTATGGGACAAATTATAAGTGCTGCTAAGATATTGGATAGGATAATAGAGAACAAGCTGGAAAAGTAGCTGGTGGTAGCTGGAGAGTGGTATTCTTGGCACTAAGATTATGGAGGTAGCACTATGAGAGAAGGGGCCTGGGATAGGTTGGAGGAGGTCAAGGAAGGGAGGTCAGAGAACTGAGACACCAGAATATGAGAAAAATCTCTTATGTGAATACTGAAATAACAAGAATCATCATAGGGATGGTGTCAGGGAAAGTGACAGTGATCCAGATGCCACTATCTTCAAGGACTGAGGTGTAATAACTCAAGGGTCTGTAGATGGCTGCAATAAGGAGGGGTGGTGGATAAGATGGTCTATTATTTTCAAGAAGGGCCTGGTTTCAGTCAGAGCAAGAAAGTGAAAGAAACTTTCAGAGAAGAGGCTGAGGATATAGCGGGTTTTGCTGGTGATGAACCATGAATTCTAGAGGGCAAATGGGAAGATTCTAGGAGGTGGCAGAGGATGGAATGATGTGTGCAAACACTCACCCAAGCACATTTAGTACTTGGAGTTGGAGCTCAGCTTGTCAGGAGGAGGAAAAGGGAAAAGGATGGAGATATAGGCCAAGCACACCAAGAATGGCTGCTTTGGTGTGAAGGAATAGCCTCACCCCTGCTTCCCCCGCCTCCATGAGCCATGGTGGCTAAAGTGGCTTCTTTCTGTTCCCCATAGTGATTTGTAAACCAAAGGCTGACAGTGGAAAACCAAGAGGTGGCTGAGTGTTTACAGTGTGAGAGCATATTGACACTGATCCGGGGGCATTCATGCTGCTGCAGCTGGTGCTCTGATCGCTTTGAGACAATGGAACACCCCCCCACCCCCACCCCAGGAGGCTGCCTAGACTGTTAACACTCCCTTCGTCCTCTAAGGACCCAGAAGAAACAACCGTTTTCCATGTTTGCACCTTCCTTCCTCTTGACCTTTCTCTGCATCAGTTGTGAGGCTTGCTCTCTGGAGCACATCCCAAACCCCAGGCTGAGCAGTCACACTCAGTCAATCATCCCGGGGGTAAATACATAATGCATCTGCCCGAATTATTCAGGTCACTGACCCAGAGGCAGAGAGATTCTGCAGTATGACACTAATTAAAAACCACAGAAGTCCCTAAGTGTGCAAACAGTTAATGAGCTGGGCTGCTAACCAAAAGCTTGGAGGTTTAAGTCCACCCAGAGGTGCCTGGGAAGAAAGGCCTGGCTATCTCTTTCTGAAAAATCAGCCGTTGAAAACCCTACAGAGCATGGTTCTACTCTGACACACTTGGGGTCACTATGAGTTGGAGTCGACTCTCCCACAACTGGTTAACGACCTATAACTCAAACACTCAGACTATAACTTCCGGTTCTACTTTTTTTTTGTTTGTTTATTATTGTAGTTTAAGTGAAAGTTTACATTTCAAGTTAGTCTCTTATACAAAAATTTATACATACATTGTTATGTGACCCTAATTGCTCTCCCTATACTGGGACAGCACACTCCTCCTTTCCACCTCTGATTTCCCATGTCCATTTAACCAGCTCCTGTCCCTCTCTGCCTTCTCATCTCACCTCCGGACAGAAGCTGCCCGTTTAGTCTCATGTATCTACTTGAGCTAAGAAGCACACTCTTCACGAGTATCATTTTATGACCCACAGTCCAGTCCAGTCTTTGTCTGAAGAGTTGGCCTTGGAAATTGTTTTTGTTCTGGGCTGATAGAGAATCCAGAGGCCATGCTTTCCAGGGTTCCTCCAGTCTCAGTCAGACCATTAAGTCTGGTCTTTTTACTAGAATTTGAATTCTGCATCCTACTTTTCTCCTGCTCCATCAGGGACTCTCTGTTGTGTTCCGTGTCAGGGTGGTCATTGGTGGTAGCTGGGCACCATCTAGTTCTTCTCGTCTCAGGCTGATGAAGTCTCTGGTTTATGTGGCCCTTTCTGTCTCTTGGGTTAACACTTTCCTTGTGTCTTCGGTGTTCTTCATTTTCCTTTACTCCAGGTGGTTGGGACCAATTGATGCATCTTAGATGGCCGCTTGCAAGGTTTTAAGACCCCATATGCCACTCACCAAAGCAGGATGCAGAACATTTTCTTAATAAGCTTTGTTATGCCAATTGACCTAGATGTCCCCTGAAAGCATGGTCGCCAGACCCCCACCTCTGCTACTCTGTCCCTCGAAGTGTTCGATTATGTTCAGGAAACTTCTTAGCTTTGGTTTAGTCCAGTTGTGCTGACTTCCCCTGTAGTGTGTGCTGTCTTTCCCTTCTAAGATAATTCTTGTCGACTATCTAGTGTGGTTCTACATTTTGAATCTGAAACCAGTCAGCCCTTTATATAGTAGAAGGAGCCACTGGTCTCCCTTGCACACCCCCCACCAATACACCCAAGCACAACACTGTGCAGTCATCCATAAGTTTAACTTCTTAGACTCAGTTTCCCCACCTGTGAAGTGGAGATCATATTACCCTGCTTATTTGAACCAGGTGGTCTCTTAAGTGGAGGGAACATTTTTTTGGATTAGAGTTAGAATTAGGGTTCAAAATAAGGTGGAGATTGAAGCATTTGAAGCTCCTCCTCTTTCGTTGCAAGGCATAGTCCAGCTCTGAAAATTCTGCATCTTCTCACCAGAAGCCACAAAACAAACGATTTTCCAAGCGTCGATGGGGCAAAGGTAATATAAAAAAGCAGGGGATAGTTTTGGAACTGGTTATGCTCTAATTTTCACTAAATGGTCAGGGAGGTAGAACCGCTCCAACACGGAGTTGGAAGACAGCGCGCACGCCGCTGCGGAGCGTGAAGGCCGCGGTCGCCTAGCAACGGGCGGGGGGCGGGACGGGCGGCGGGGATGCGCGCGGGGCGGCTGGCCGGTGTGCGCTGGGAGCTTGCGACTGCTTCACGCCCTCGGTCCTTCCAGGCTTGTCGGGAATCTTTGGGGCTTCTCGGTGCTGGAACGTCGGCGCGAGGCCGGGCGAGCAGAGCGATGCGCCCCGCGGGGTGAGGCCCGACGATGAGGCCGCGGCCCGGCGCGCCCTGCCCCGGGAGCCGCGGGCGCGGGGTCGCACCCGCGCAAAGTTGGCGCGCGCCTGGGAGACGCTCGCACCCTGGGCCGAATTGCCCGTAAGTTTCTTTGGCATTTTCCTATCGTCAGTGAATCCGTCGGACTGGATCCCTCGTGGCCCTGTTGACGGATTCTGAACGCTAGGAGAGAGAAGCCCGCGCTTTTCTAAGGGACCTGCACTGGAACGGATGCTTCAGCGATTCTCCCGGAATGGTTGCGATTCTATTTTTTGTTTTCTGCTTTTCTTCTTCCTCCAGACAGTGAGTTTGTGGAAGCCACTCCCGCGTCCTACAGTCCAGAGGAGTTAGGTGAGTCTGCCCCTTTTTACCTTTTCTTCTCGGAATTCCGCTCAAGAACCCCGAGTATGGGGGGCGCAGGTAGCCCAGAGGCGCCGGAGGGGCTGAGAGAAAGGGTCTGGAGACCACTTCCCGGGGTCGCGTGCTCCCTTTGGGGTGCGAACTGGCCCTTCCTCGGTGCGTGTGCTTTGGGGTGGCGGGGAAAGTGTCAGGATGTGTCCTGAATGTGTGTGGCCGTGTCGATGGTGCGGCTCCGAGGAGCGCGGCACGGAGCAAACTTCCCGACCCGGGGCCTGTGGAAGCAGCGTGAACTCATCCTGCCTGGAAGAACGGGACGGGGGCTGCTTCTGCGTTGCCGAGCCTTGACAAGTCAAGGAGGACATGGTGTGGATAATTCTTAACATAAATTTAATGAAGTTGAGGGCCTAAAACGGCAGTCTGGAAATTAAACGACAGAACCTGGAAGCTGGGTCCCTGGCTTCTATTCCTCATTCAGCCTGTAGGTGTCTTGGACTAGGGCATTTCGGCCTCTTCCGCCTGTCGCTATGATGGGTGAACCGCGACACTCTTGTCAGACACAGACTTCCCTCTGTGAGGAGAAGGAAATTTGCGTTGTCAGGATCCCTCTAAGTATTCCTGACACCCAGTCTCTCCCGGTGGCTTAGTGGATGGGTTCTTTTTTTTTTCCCTCTCTCTCTGGGTTAGCCGCTAACAATCTGGGCTGTCAAGCCTGTCCATCCTTTTCGCTTATCACCAGCCTGAAAACCTTGCTTTCCTACCATGAAATGGAAGGATTTTTTTTTTTTCTAGTGTAAGTTGGCAGTAAAGGAGAAGAGAAATTGTCCACAGACAGCAGTTTAAAAAAATGTTTATCCACAGCGACACTCTCAGCCTTGGGCACCTTCTGTCTGGTCAGCCTCTTGTCGTGGGATGTGTGGTGTCTCATACCACTTTAAGTAGAATTCGGCTTCAGCAACGGTGACTTCCATTCATTTCTAGGAGCCAAGCACCCCAAAACAGGTCCAGACCAAGGCTGGCATTCTGGGTGGGGAAGAGTACTTTGCTCTATTCAGAAGATGCATTTCTGACAAGTTGTGAGGCAATTACATCTCTGTAAATGAAATCATAGATTAAATACATGAGTAAAATTTGTTTGCACACTATGGTGAATCCTTTTGTGAAATGAAAATGATATCTAAACCATAGCTTTGCATTAAGCGATTTTTTGAAAGGGCAGGTACTTGGTGATCTGCTCCACATGTGTATAATTGTATATTAATGACACAAACGTTGGCACTCTACAGTGTGACAGAAGCTATTTGGTCCTTTTAAATTATAGATCAGCATAAGCAACGGCAGAATGAGCACTGCTTTCTCTGAGACGCCCGACTATATTACTACTAAATCATTTGCATTCACAGAATGATTTATATACCAGAGAGGTCCAGATGTTTGGCCTCTTTCATTTCCATATGTCACTCTGGGATTAACAGACCAGATGATAATAGCCTTCTCTGCTGCCCAGCTGAGGCACTGATAAATAGCGGTGAGGGGAGCTTGAAATTAGCTGTAGAGAATAAGAAAACAACCTTTTTTTTCTCTCTCAGCTCATGTGTGGGTAAAGCCTACTATCTCATGAGGAGGTGAGAGTCTGATAGGAACCATGGGGTCCCCTCCTGAGCTCTGGGCTTAGAGGGTGATGGACAGTAGAACAAAAGTCTGTGAGCCAGAGACCAGGGTTCTAGTCCTCACTTTGCCCCAGCTTCCTTAGTAGATGTGTGAACTTTTCTGTGCCCCAGTTTCCTCACTTACGAAAAGCTGGGGTTGTGCCAGATGTCCTCTAAGGTGCCTTCCATTTCTGGCCTTCTGAGATTCTGTAAGGTGCCTTAAGACAAAAAAAAAAAAAGCCTATAGCCTATGGGTATTAAGTGTTTTTGCATTCATGTGTGGTGCTGTTTGGGTGCATCGTGTCTCCAAAGGGTTGTTCTCCCCCTGACAGAGCAGCTCTTTGAATGAGACTGCATTGTTTCCATGCTATTCAGGTCAAAGAGGGAACTGGCATGTCTCCCTTGGAAAGAGTTATGATAGTTTTTGGTGCTTTTCTTAGATGCACAGGAGGGAAAATGCTTCTTACAGCAGTTGATGAGCTTGTCAACTGCAGCAAGATGGCGGTCATTCTTTCTGGAGCACAGATGAGCACAGACTCACTCCTTGGCCAGAATATAAGGAACCTGGGAAAGAGCTAGAGGGAAGTCATAAAGACGTAGTTTGAATTTTATACTGCACTTACTGTATAACCTCAGGCAGGTGACCTAACTGCTCTGAACTTCAGTTATCTTGTCAAACCAGTTGCATGGATGTGTAAACGATGTATGTAAAGCCCTAGCATCACGTTATATGTGGAGAAATTTATAAAGTACTTGTTAGTATTACTTTTATTATTATTCATTTGAAAGACATTTATTTCCCAGGCATGAAGGATGAAATAGCTCTTATTAATTGTCCCACCTAGTAACCAAAACCATTTTTATTTCTAGAAATTTCTTTGTTACCTAGTCTCCGGAAACAAACACCTGGGGATGCTGATTGGGTCAATTGATTTATTTTGTGGATGTATCCCTGGGGCAGCATATGAAATGGTTTTTAATCTTAGGTCTTTGATGACAGTCCCACTACCTTCTTGCAGCAAGATTGATAGTCTGTTTCATTTCCTGAATTTTTATATCAGTCTCCAGTTGAACTCCAGCTGCTTCCTTGGGGAATTTGTGTTCAGTATTGCAGCAAAATCATGTAATGAAAATTTAGTCACCAAAAGGGGGGCTTTGGAAAAGGCAGTAGAAAAAGGATGATTGCTGTGTGGAAGGCTGCCATGATGGGGAGTAGAGAATTGTGCCCTCTGTCCTTGGTGGTGGTACCGTTTTCTAAGGAGGCAAAGCCCACAGCTCTTTGTAGCCTTTCTGTAGTCCCTTCCATAGGTAGAAGTGATGGCCTGAGGGGGTAAAGAAGAATGCATGGTAAGTGGGGATGAACCTAGATCTGACCATGTCTATCTGCCTCTGTCTAATAACCTTCATTGAGTCCCCACACCTAAAGGATAAACATTTGGTTTGGCATAGAAAGACCTACATGATCTGTATCACTCCTACCCCCTTTAACCTTCTAGTTATATTGAACTGTGGAGCAATCCTGTAGATGCACCTTTGTTCCTTTTGCCTGCGTGCCCTTCCTCCCCTTCCCTCTTCCTCCCCTGTCTAGTTCCTACGCATCCTTCAACACTTAGCCCGTGTGTCATGTCCTTCTTGTGCTTCTTAACCTTGGCTGCACATAAGAATCAGCAGAGCTTTTAAAAGTCCTGGGGTAGATCCTGTTGCTAGGTGCTGTTGTGTCAGTTTTGACTCAGACAATCCCATGTGACAGAGTAGAACTGCCCCATAGGGTTTTCTAGGCTGTAATCTGTCTTGGAAGAAGTATAGCCAGAACACTCCTTAGAAGTGAGGATGGCAAGCGAAACTTCGTCTCACATACTTTGAACATGTTATCAGGAAGCATCAGTCCCTGGAAAAGGACATCACTCTTGGTAAAGTAGAGGATCAGCAAAAGAGAGGAAGACCCTCAACGGGGAGGATTGACACAGTGGCTGCAACGGTGGGCTCAAACATAACGATTGTGAGGATGGTGCAGGACTGGGCAGTGTTTCGTTCTGTTGTACAAAGAGTCATTATGAGTCAGAACTGACTCGATGGCACCTAAGAACAATAGTCTTCATGAGAGCACATCACCAGGTCTTTCTCCTACGGAGCTGCTGGGTAGGTTTAAACCGCCAACCTTTTGGTTAGCAGCTGAGCTCTTAACCATTGCACCACCAGGGCTCCTTGAGGATAAGATGTAACCCAGACCAATTACATCAGAATCTCTAGGCTGTTCATCCAGGCATTGGGTTTTTTTTTTTTTTCTTTTTTTTTTTAAATCACATTTCAGGTTGTTCCAATGTACAGCTAAGTTCGCAGTCCACCGTACCAGACTGTGGGCACCTCATTCTTCTTTGTAAACTGAGCAGCCGGCACAGTGCCCGGTACTCGTAAATCCTCAGTAAATGCTTGCCGAACAAGTGAGTGAAGGAGTCTCCTCTGAGATGCTTTATCTTTCCATAGTTACGTATCTCTATGATTGGCCTCAGCCTTGTTGTAACAGTGCCTGGGGGACTAGAGCCTTTGACCCATGACCTATATCTCTCTTTTGTTCATTCTCTAGGCTTATCTGTTTTCCAGCTTTCTTGAAAACTGATGTTTTAAAACAGTTTTTAGTATAAAAGTAACACATGCTTATTCTAGAAAATTGGGACATTAGAAAGAATGGAGAAAAAATCCACTCCCACCATCCAAAAACAAACTGGTCCCTTGTTTTTAACGTTTCCTAATTTGTTGCCCTTTGAGGTTACTTGACCTCTGGCATGCCTCAGTGAGCTCAGTTGCTTCTCTCTTTGCTCAGACTCCATGAACTGCCCTCTGAGGGCCTGAAGAGGAGTGTCTCATGAGAGTAGCATTTTTGGAAGCCACCAGGGCTAACTCCCCTGGGGGCCAGTATGCCATGAGAAAACATTTTCTTGTGCTATTCTTGCCTTCCTTATTCAGGCAGGATGCATAGGCTTTATTAGAATAAATGATACCATTTGTGTAACTTCTTTAAAATAATAACTGTTTGCCAGTCCTGCCCCTTGTCCTTCTAAAATATGGGATGGGATTGCAGCCCCGGATAATAGTGTTTGTGCCTTTCACCCGTATGATCAGAGTATAGCAACTTGCAAGTATGGCAGGATAGGCTAACTGCTATAACGAACAGACCCAATCTCAGTGGCTTAACACAATAAAGGTTGTGTTTCTTCCTCATGCTACAGTTTAGTGTTGGGCTGTCAGAGAGCTCTGCTCCATATGGTCATTGAGAGCCCTAGGCTCTTTCCATCCCCTGGCTCCGCCATCTTCTAGAGCCTTAGAGTCCTTCACTAGATCCTTTGC